GTCACCTCAATAAAGTTGTTTCCTTTTTAGATTTTTTGATTGCTTCTTAGTTCTCACCTAAATACTCATCTTTGTTGGCAGTGCTTGCTCCACATCACTAGGTCCCATCAAGACAGTCGGTTCCAGCTTCTGGGATATTTATTTGAGGTTAGGATTAAACTTCCGTAGTGCATTGGCTATGACATCTAGCCTTGCATTTGCAAAAATATGGAAATAGTAGTCAGGCCGTTTGGTCAATTTACTAATAAAAGTATTTGCTCTAGAAGTTTCATCAGTATGTAATCGAATGACAGGTTTTGGTTATTATCATGATCTTATTACCACCCGCGGATAGACTATTTTTCATTTGATAAACCATTCCTTTCTTTATTCAATTTGGATGTTTGCATAGATGAGTTCTGTTGCAAAAGGTTAAAGGAAAACCTGCTCGCGCTTGTGTGCATCTTCAGATATCCGCATTGCATGTTTTTTTGGATGATTATGCATAACATTGAAGAATTGTTTTCTACTTTATTATTGTCGGTTTCATGTTCTGTAATTTAAAATGCAGGTCTTCTCAAGGAGCCATGAAGAGATTCTGTGGACTGGTTGTCTTTTTCCTGATGTTGTGGTTTTTTAGTGCCCTGAATTTTGTCATTTTGCACGTGGTATAAACAATATTCTTTAGGGTCAGTTACAATTTACTAGAATTTCTAGCACATTCTTTTGAGGCTTTACCTCAATATACTCGTGCCATTGTGAATGTAGAAAAGCGGAACTAGAGATGGGTGTCTGTTTAAATTTTAGATAGTTTTCTTTTGTTGACCATTTTTTTTTAAATTGTATTTTCCTGGATTGTAAACATGGATGGTTAATAGAGAAAATAATGATTCTTCCCAAGGTTGCTTCGATCGATCGTTGATAAGATGATCTCCCAAACTTCAACTTGCTGTTTGCAACCGGTATTTACGTGAAGTCTTTGCATTTTTCCTTCTTAAATGTGCTATGTTTTGCGTGGATTGGGAAATATTGACGCAGAACAAAGTGGGATAAAGCTTGGTTTGTTGTAAAGGGTCGTGATAGATAGTTTATTATTCCTCTGATGAAATAAAATAGGGTTGGTGTCTTGGAGACAAGGTTTGGATGGTTTGACCATTGAGACGGCTATTAAAAAGGATTAATTAAGCATAAACTTAAGCTTAAACTATATACACTATACCGTAATACTTTTTAACTATCATTTAGTCTTATATTTTGATATTATAATTTTTTAACATTGATGCATTATATTATGCTACAGTCACAAGTATTAAAGTTATACCAAAAATAAATTCTTGCCGATTAACTATGCAAAAACTTTTATATTGCGTAATGGCGGGAGAAACTAGGATGACAATGGAGTTTTATGAGCGCGGGTAATAGTAAATTTGTCTTCATCTTGCGAGATGAAAATTGATCGCATATACGGGTATTTATTAAGCGGGTATCCATGAATTTCTTGAATACCTGTGGATATCCATGGATATTTATAAATTTTTTAGAAATTAAAAAAATTATATTAGAAATAATTTAAAGTTTATATTTAATGTCATTGAAATATTAAAAATAAAAATTTAATATTAATTTTGAACTTGTATTTAACGTTAATTTTGTTGAAATAATAATAAAAATGTAAGATAATTAATAACTTAAAATACATCAATCTCACAAGTGAAAGTCTCATATAAGAAAATTACAATAATTCAATCTCATAATTCCAAACGAAAATAAACAACTTAAAATACATAAATCTTATTGTGGTGACTAATGCGTGGACTGTGCAGCTATGGAAAGAAAATAAAATGAGAGAGTGTAGTTTTAGGGTTATATGGTACAAGAATAATTATGATATTTAAGAAATATTATTAAACAGGTACCCGTATGCCTCCGTCCTGTTTATAAACGGGTAAAAAATTATCTGTCCCCATTATTTGCGGGTACCCAATTAGCCCATTCATTTATTATTTATAGCAGATTTTACCCATAGATACCAGTCCTAGTAGAAATTTATTAAAAAAATCGTTAAGAATTTGATTTTTCTTTAAAGAGTATTGTTATAATTTTTTAATAGTATATATATATACCGCTAAAACCTAAAAGGTTAATAATTTCATAGATTAATTTACTTACTTATATATATATATATATACTTATATATATATATATATATATATATATATATATCACGATCTCAAATCAGTGAATGAAACATTCTATCTAATAACTAAAATTTCATGAAAAATGTGAAAATTTATTCTATATTAAAACTTATACATCAATAAAATTGATAAATGATAATTAGAAAGTTTGAATGATCAAATAAAAATATTTATTTTTCAAATTCTTTTCTATTTCTTTTAACAAGAATCACACATACTCACAATAATAAATACAAAAGATGAAAATAAATTAACGACTTTATAAAAATTGTAAAATACTTATAAAAGGTATCATCATTTATTTTTAAATTGTGCTTTCTATTAATAACTATAAGGGATAATTATCTTTAAATTAAATGTTTTTAATTAAAATATTATTTTAAATTTAGTGAAATACATTAATCATAAACTCTTCAAATAATATGTACTTTGATATGTTAGAAAAGAGAAAAGTGTTAATCAAGAGAGATAAGTAGTATTTCCTCTAATTCTAATATAAATTGAAGAAAAATTAATTCACATTAATCAAGAAAGTTAACTAATCTTATTAAAAAAATAATTAACATCATTTAAATTCATTAATCTTATTTAAAAAAAAAAACTTAATTTCTTAAACTACCTTTTAAAACTTAGAGCAACTCTAATGGGAGTTACTTGTCCCATGAAGCAACTTAAGTCCCAGTTTCTTGTCATTGGAGGACTCTGACGTGACAATATGAGTTGCTTGAAAAAGTGAGAGAGTTGCTTTCTCAAGCAACTATTCCTTACCAGATTTCAAGCAGATTTTATTAAACATATTTGGGAACGTTTCGGAAATAATAATGATGATAATTAATTTCGTATAATGTCTATGTATTTACTATTGCTTTATTTTATTTTTAATATCTACTTATTGTATATTTTTCTCGTAATTTATTTTCTCTCATTGTAGTGCAATTATTTTTTTAATAAAAATTTAAAATTGGTTATAAATGATTAGAAAAAAATTCTAAAAGCTAAATTTCTTAAAGTTTCTTACCATTGGAATAAATTTGTATTTGAGTTGCTTGATCTTGACATGACATACTAGGATCCACTTTTTCTATTTTTCAATGCATGAAACAACTCAAATAAGTTGTTTCCATTAGAAATGCCCTTAATATTAAAAATGTAAACTTAATTAATAAAGTAAAATTAGATAAATTTTGGATATGTTTAAAATCAAAACACAATTTTTTATTTTGCAACTATTAAAAGTTAGTCAGAGTATAACTATAAATTGTACAAGAGTAGTTTTTAAATATATATATATATATATATATATATATATATATATATATATAGAAACGT